TATGGGGGGGCGTGGGAGGGTACAGGGGATGGATGGGGGATATGGGGGAATACAGGACAGAGGGGACACCTGGGACTACAGGGGACACATGGAGGGGTTTTGGGGACACGCCCCCAGGGAGGGGTGTGTCAGGGGAGGGGCGTGTCCTCACTCACCTGTGCCGGGGGCCTTGTCCCACCTGAGCAGCCGCTCGGTCCCGCTCCTGCTCCGCCTGGTGCCGGCACTGCCGGGCCTCCTCCACGGCCTGGGGGGGCAGGGCTGGCATGGACACGCCCACCGGGGACACGCCCACCACCCCAGCACCACCCACAGGCCGATATAGCCCCGCCCACTGTTCCTCAGCCCCGCCCATTGGTCCTTAGCCCCACCCATCATTCCTTAGCCCCACCCATTGGTCCTCAGCCCCACCCATTGGTCCTCAGCCCCACCCACTGGTCCTTAGCCCCACCCATCATTCCTTAGCCCCACCCATTGGTCCTCAGCCCCACCCACGGGACCGTAGCCACACCCCCCTGCCCTTTAGCCCGGCCCCTTTGTCCTTTAGCCCCACCCATTTATCATTAGCCCCGCCCTTTCCCCTGGCCCCGCCCACCTCTCGCAGCCGCTGAAGCTCCTCCCCCCGTTCCCGGCACCGCGACTCCGCCTCCTGCGCCCGAAGCTCCGCCCCCGCGAGGGCGGCGCGGGCGGCCTGGAGCTCCGCCCACAGCAGCTGCCCCGCCTCCTGCAAATGGCTGGGTCAGGGACAGGCCACACCCCCTCTGACCACGCCCCCTTTTAGCCCCACCTTACCCAGGCCTCCACCCTCTCAGAGGCTCCTCCCCTTCCCAGGCCACGCCCCTCAGACCACGCCTCTTTAGCCCCACCCACAACCACACCTATCATAGGCCCCGCCCCATCCAAACCCACCCCCTCCCTGGCCCCGCCCACCTGCTGCAGCCGCAGTCTCTCATTGGCCCGGTCCCTGGCCCTGCAGGCCCCGCCCATCCGGGCCTGGGCACCGCCCACTGCGATCTCCAGCGCACGCAGGGCCCCGCCCTCCACCAGGCCACGCCCCCTCTCTGCTGCCAGGCTCCGCCCCAGCGCCGCCACCTGATTGGGGAAGACCGTGATTGACAGCTTGCATGGGACAGGCCACGCCCCCACATGGGTGATGGACAGGCCCTTGTCCCGCCCCGGGGTGATTGACAGTTCATTGCTCCGCCCACTGGGGTGATGGACAGTCCCAAACCTCTCCCATCGATGTGATTGACAGTCTCAAGCCCCTCCCATCGATGTGATTGACAGCCCCAAGCCCCGCCCACCTGGTTGCTGAGGTCCCGCAGCTCCTCCTCCAGGTCCCGCCGGTGCTGGGGGGGAACGAGGGAACATTTGGGGGGAGGAACCAAAATCTGGGGGGGTCCCAAAGTCGGGGGGGGGGGTCCCTGGGTTTTGGGGATTCCCAGGAATCCGGGAGCTCCCAGAGTCCAGGGAGTCCCAAAATCTGGGCGGTCCCAGGTATTTGGGGGTCCCAGGAATCCAGGGGGTCCCAGGTGTTGGAGGGTCCCAGGGATTTGGGGGTCCCAGGAATCCAGGGGGTCCCAGGTGTTGGAGGGTCCCAGGGATTTGGGGGGT